TCTTCTGACGTGCTATAATGGCATCGCGCTGTCTGCCTCCTCCGTTCAGAACGGGTAGCGGCGACTTCGTTGCTGACTGGTATCTTCGTCGTCGTTGCGTGGGTCTTCGTCAGCCGTCGTTGTGCTGCTACGTCCCCAGCTGCCAGATGGTGATGAGCAGGTTGTAATCGCCGATTTTTTGCAGTGTGTCTGAGTCTCCCCAATACCTTGCGCGGCCGTTGGTAACCGGCACGACGACCGAGTCGGTATATGTTTCGACGAGCTTAGTACCATAATTGGCCGGTGGAGAACGTTTGCGCAGACTTTGTCACGATCACCAACCATGCTGCTTTCTTAACCGGGCTTGGGACTGGCAACGGCGGTGTTATGCTGTTGGCCAACTGAACAATTTTACGAATGAAGAGTTCAAAATTTTACTGCGCATGCAAGAGTAGAACTAAGGCAAACGATGCCAGCAAGTTGAATTTTTTCTTTCCTTTTCGCCTTGGTGAACTCATTTTACTGTGCCAGTCTTTAAAATCTCTTTTTCTACTTTTCTTCGATAGTCTTCATGCTTCTTATCGAATTTCCACATATACATTTCATTACACCAATTGCACTTAGCTAGTTGTCGAGGTAGGTAATACAAATATATTCGGCCCATTACGGGCCAAAACGTGACCTAAATGAATCGAACTTGCAGATCTGTCGAATAACTGACTGACAGCAATTTAACGTTGATACCCATGAAGAAATATACATAGATGACATACACGATTAGTTAGCAACTGCTTTTATTTAATAGCATTAGTACAAAGAAATTGTGCCGGTGGTTATTGTCCATACGCATGTAATCTTTCTGATGGATAAACTGTGATGTGGTCCTGTTCGTAATATGCCAACCTGTTGTGCTGTGAGGTCTCGACCTTCTGTTCTGCCAGAAAGAAGTTGTTGGGGGAAATCGACTGCTAGCCACAGAATAGTGCTTGCAATGGGCCACAGGGGTGGAAACTAAGCTAACAAAACTACAATCCCGGAAATACCATTCAAAGACCATCGCTTGGCTAGGATGGACAAAACGGCTCAAACAGAATAAAATTATTTCAAATGAAGGTTTTAATCGTTTGTTATGAATGTAAAAGTAAACGAAAGTGAACTATGTGCATAAAAAATGCCTGAGACAAGCAGCAGGCTCAGAAGGCTCAGAAGTCTAACCATCCAGTCTAACCATACATAATAAAAACCATGTAGTTTCAATTATATACAACACAAAACAGTTAGTCTATTGAGTGATAAGCAGCTAAAGGTTTTTCAAAGTGCTGCGCAATGCCCTCAAAGTACAAAAGTATTAAATGTCAAAAATGAGCAGGTGCTGACAACCACCGATTTCAACCAAATCAGAGATCAACGCCTGACATGGTTGGATAAAACGGTCCAAAAAGAAACTGGAA